CGTTTGCTACACAGTGCCCCGTTTGATTCCCTCCTCAATTGCGCTTGCTAGACTGCAAGGGTGCTCATCGTGGGGGGGGCCTCGTCCGCCCTCTTTCTGAGAATGGAGGGGTAGAAAAGGGGGGAAAGGGGCCTGCGAGGGAGGGGCGTGAAAGAATCGAAGTGCAAAGGCTGGAGGAAAAAAAAGAGGCCTCCCTCCCCTCCCTCCCTCCCCTCCCTCCCCTCCCCTCCCTCCCCTCCCCTCCTCCAGAGCCAGGCCTCCCTCCCCTCCCCTCCCTCCCCTCCTCCAGAGCCAGGTAGACGCTGAGGGGCCGCAGGTGCACGGCCAGCTCCCGCGGCTGGGTGGCGGCGAAGGCCTCTCCGCGCGGGGCCAGGCTCTTCCTCCGTCTCCTGCGCGTCCCTCTCCTGCTCTTCCCATCTCTCCTGCTCGTCCTGCTTCGCATGCTTGTCCTTCCCTGCTCCTCCTCCTCCTCCTCCTCCTCCTCCTCCTCTTCCTCCTCCTCCTCCTCCTCCTCCTCCTCCTTCTCCTCCTAGTACTCCTCCTCCTAGTACTCCTCCTCCTCCTCCTTGCTGGTCCCGCGGGCAATCGTCATCCTCATCACTCCCTGTGGCCAAAGCTTGGGACGCCATTCATCCACTAACGACCCACGGGGAGCGCAGAGAAGAAGTGAGCCGACGGATGCGTCTACCAAGAGCACTCGCAGTCCAGGTCATCGTATTATCACATGCATGCACGGTGATGTGCAATTCTGATACTAGCACACTCAAGGTGGCGTTCGGCCCCCCAGTTCCGAACCCTTCGGTGGGACCCACCATAGGTGACGTCATCGCGACAGTCAACATTCGAATGTGCTTCGCAGGCTGGCAGGCCTCACACACATTGCACACACACATGGATTCCGCAAGACACCCGATATCAACAGGAATTGAAGGGGAAGGTAGATTGGCACGGCGGTTGTTCAAACATGTGGCCCGACGTAATCAAAATTGGGGAACCACTCGGGCACAACGGACTGCTGACAACGACCAGCATGGACGAGATGCAAATAAGCCAAGCCAATCCAAATGCGCAACCCGCATGCGCAACCTGGTGAAAGTTGGTCCCGCGGAGGCGGATCACTGGCCAACTTCGACCAGAAGAACAACAGATCCTTGCTCTGCTGAGGCCATCGTCGGAATACTGACATGTACATGGACACACCAGACACACGGAGGGAGTCCAAACTCGTTCTTGGGGGAGGCCACCACGACTTCGGGAGGGATCGTCAAGCCTGTTGGGGCCGAGGGCCGGTCGCTCTGGGAGAGCCGTGGAACAGCCGGTAGCGGAGGAGGAAAAACACAAGATGCCCGCCTCGAGAGTGGACAGGAGCGACCTTCGCTGCACCCAGCGCTCCTGGAAGCCGGCGGGTGGAACGGGCAAGGCTGCAGAAAGGGAGCACTGCTTCTCTTTTTTTATATTTTTTTGTTTTTTTTATTATTATTTTTTGGAGCACTGCTTCTCTGCCACGGTGCCGCCTGGCACGCACGTTGGGGCGTGCTAGAAGTGCAAGTGCAATATGGTAGGGATTACGTAAGCTTCTAGGGACCCCCCCCCTCTACTGGCGCTGGGCCGCGCGCATCGCCCTCCCTCCTCCTCCTCCTCCTCCTCCTCCTCCTCCTCCTCCTCCTCCTCCTCCTCCTCCTCCTCCTCCTCCTCCTCCTCTCCTCCTCCTCCTCCTCCTCCTGCTCCTCTCCTCCTCCTCCTCCTCCTCCTCCTCCTCCTCCTCTCTCCTCCTCCTCCTCCTCCTCCTCCTCCTCCTCCTCCTCCTCCTCCTCCTCCTCCTCCTCCTCCTCCTCCTCCTCCTCCTCCTCCTCCTCCTCCTCCTCTTCCGCCCCCAGAGGCCCCCAGGAGGCCCTCGAAGTGCCCCAAAACAGCCCCCGAGACGCCCAAAAAGGCTCCCAAGACTGCCCAGATCAGATCCATGAGAGATTCCCGAGAAGTGAAGACGAAAGGTGTCACGTGTGACAGCGAACCTCGTTCTCCTCCTCCTCCTCCTCCTCCTCCTCCTCCTCCTCCTCCTCCTCCTCGTCCTCCTCCTCCTCCTCATCCCCATCCCTCCTTCTCCTCCTCATCCTCATTATCATCCTCCCCTTTCCTTCTCATCAACATCATTATCGTCGTCATCATTATGAGACTCTCATTATTAGTACTTATTGTGGATAGCATGTTTCGTGGTACTAGTCTTCATGTTCGTATTCATCATCATTGTCGTCATCCACAACCGCGGCAGCAGCAACATAACCATCACAATCGTCATCATCAGAATCATCGTAGTCATCATAGTCATCATCATTGCCGTACTGATAATCCGCATCATCATCATCATCATCATCATCATCATCATCATCATCATCATCATCAGCATCATCATCATCATCATCATCATCATCATCATCATCATCATCATCATCAGCATCATCATCATCATCATCATCATCATCATCATCATCAGCATCATCATCATCATTATCATCATCATCAGCATCACCATCACCATCACCATCACCATCACCACCACCATCATCATCAGCATCATCATCCTCAGCATCACCATCACCATCACCACCACCAGCATCATCATCATCATCATCGTCATCATCATCAGCAGCATCATCATCATCGCCGTCATAGTCATCATCGCCATCATCAGCATCGAAGCCAGCGTAATCATCGTCGTTATCATGATCGGAATCGGCATCGTCATCATCAGCAGCAGTCTTAATCACCATGAGCATGATAATCATCATCATCATCATCATCATCATCCACATCCACCATCATCGTCATAATCGGCATCATCATCAGCAACATCATCGTCATCATCATCGCAATCGTCATCATCAGCGTCATCATCGTCATGTTCGTGATCATCATCATCCTCATAATGATTAACATCATCATCGTCAGCAGCATCAACAACGTCATCATTCTCATCATTATCCTCATCATCATCAACATCATCGTCATCATCATATCATCATCGCCGTCGCCATCATCGTCATCGTCATGGCCATCCTCAACAGTGTCATCATTGCCACCATCGACCATCGCCATCTCAGAGGCAACAAGTGTGGGTTGGTGGATCGCGTACTGGGTCGCAATCGCAGCGAGCGCAGTCGCTGCCTCTTGGTCTTTCGCGGGCGGTTCTGGTCGCCGCGGCGGCCCCTGGGACGCTGTACCCCACGACCTTCACCGTAGCGTTGGGCCGCGGGGCATGCGCACGGACAAGGGCGAAGTGCCCTGAGGTGGGCTTGTCCCAGCCTACGTGGTAGACCTCCGAAGGCCAGTTGAGCACCGTCAGGACGTTTGAGTCATACGTCTTGTTGGCACATTCGGGCTCGAAGCCCGCGATGCGGTGGTAGCTGGGGCAGCCCCTGCGCCTCGGAGCTCGATGGCATCAGACTTTGCGAGCGCGCCCGCTCGCAGCACCCGTACGCCGACGCATCGACCGCCTCTAACGACGCGGCAAGCGCCGTGCTTGTTGGAGACGGCGAGGGCGGCCTCCATCCCGGCATCGGGCCCGCCCCAAATGGGCACGCACGGGAAATGGGGCCGTGGCTGAAGGCTGAGAGGTGCCACGGTGGCTTGGGTCGCAGGTGATTTATCCTGCACCCGAGACGGCAACGACGTTGGCGACGTCGACGGGTGAGGTACCGAAGACGGCCGTGAGCTTCCGTTTGCCGACGGCCGCGCCGTGGCGGCGACGATGAAGGCTCGGTCTCGCTTTGGAACGTGCCCTCCTGGCGCTTGCCGGCGGCCTGCTGAGCGGAGCCGTCGCAGACCGGGGCTGGGCCGCAGCACGCTTCAGACAGCAGTCCTCGGAGCGCGGCGATGACGGCGATGGCCTCCGCTTCGCGAATGGTTACGCGGATCCATGCGACGCCAGGGGGGTGCATCGAGCGCGGCGCGGGGGGGGGTCTGCACGACCTCGGTGGAGCGTGCGCAGCCTGGGCCTCTGCGGACGCAGCGGCCGCCTCGTGCCCGGGCAGAGCTTGCCTCGTGGGCCCACCTCCGCGGGCCGCTGTTTGGCCCTGGCTGCGGAGCTGGGTGAGCAGCCTTTCTTTATGATGTTCCAGCCTTGATCACGAGAAAGAATGTCGAGCCCCCAAAAAAATACCGACACTCAATGGCTTTCACTTGTCGGGCCCTGGGAGACACTCGTCCGACACTGCGTCGGCACTGTTTCGACACTTTTCCCGGGCGCCCGAGATTATTTCTGGGATGTGGTCCTTTTAAGCACGACGGGAGCAGCATAAGCCTTTCTCGCATTCCTTCGTGGCCGTGAAGCGAGATGCTGCTCGCGTGCGCGCCTTCGTTGGGGGCGCGCTCTGGGCGAGCCGCGACCGGGCTGGCCGGTGTGCTACGTCGGTGCTCGTGGATGGCGGGCGGGCCTCGCTGGCGGAGGCAGGTCGGCGGGCCGAGGGCTTTGGGGCTCGGCCACGCGCCGTGGTTGACCGTTGGCTCGACGGTGAGCCAAGGTCGAGCTGATTTCTTTGTGCTGGCCCGGCAGAGGCGCTGGACAGAGCCTTGCAGAGCTCGGCGGGGTGCTGATCGGGCGTGCTCGTGGCAGGCGCGGTCGGCCACGGAGGAAGCGACCGAGAGGAGCTGGTCGAATGCTGGAGCGGCACCATCGGCTCCAGCGTCCCGGAGAGCAGCAACACGGGCACCGGTTGTCGGTCAACATCGCGCGCGCGCATGTGGCCATGTCGGTCTCGAGACGCGGCGAGACGCGACGGGGGCAGGCAGCCCGCCCACGAGGCACCGCCCATCCGAGGCCTCCCGTCTTCATCTGGGGGGGGGCTCCGCGATGGGGTCGATCGAGTGTCGCCGCATTGTGCGGCGCCCGCGCGCGCTCCCCTGGCAGTGCACACCGAGCACCTCGGCGAGCCGTTGGCGTTCTCCTCGGGAGCCGCCAGGGCGGCGCGAGGAGCACGCGCGGGCCGCCATGGCCGGGCGGCCGCTGGAGGGGAGCGGCGGGAGGGAACGGCCGCGGGCACCCCGCCCCAAGCGGGCGGCAAGAGGGGCCGCCGGCCAGTCTCACCAGGGCCAGGGATGCCAGGGGGTCGGGGCACGTGGCCCACAACCCTCGTCAGGATGACCCTCCAAAATGTCTCACGTGCCCGAACTGCTCGTAGGGAGATACTGGACGGAATAGCAGTGACTGCGAGGTACTTGTACCTGTATGCGCCGCCCCTCCAATGTCGGTCATCATCGACCTTCCGAGTCGTCCTGGTCAGACCACCTTTGCCCTGGCCCCGACATAGGAGGGGCGTCTATCGACATTGGAGGGCGCGCCGTCATCGCAGGGGCGTGTTCGCCATTTGTAAGGGTAATTTTGACCAGGGAAATCGGATCGCGAGGAATATTCGGTACAAGACGATGTGTATATCTATCTATATATATATATAGCGAGAGAGTTGCCAAAACAAGCAAGGGGAAGCAAGCGAACGACGACGGACGCACAGGCGGGAGGCTAAGGCGGACGGACCAAGCAGGCAGACGGGCAAGAAGACAGCAGGTGGGGAGCAGGAAGGGGGAGAGCGAGGATAAGGGGGGGGAAAGGCCTCCAACAGGGCCTCAATGAAGCCCCAAGAGCGCCTCAGATGCACTCAAAAATAGCCCAAGAGAGCTTAAAGATAGCTCCGAGAGGCTCATAGCGGGATCTATCATTCATTGATGGCCCCTCTGATTCACCATGCGCTTATCTGCTTCCCTCTTCCTGACAGCTCGCTGTGCGTCAATTCTGGATGGGCAACGCCCCAGGAATACTCGGAGTCAACCACTCCGTCTAGAGGTCCCCGCCAATCATTCCGCCTGGAGTTATCCGGCCGACTACTCCGTCGGCTGGCCACTCGGGGCCGACTACTCCAGCGATCGGGATTATGGGAGTCCGCTTGGGGTTGTGTTGGATACCTGATGCGAATGGCCGAAATAGTCGATGCCGGCTGTCCACACCCAGTAGGCAGATTAGTCAGGGCCGACCGCTCCTTCTGTTCCAATGCACGGAATGCCGGGGCCGAGGCTCCAAGAGGGTTTCTATCACAATCCTTACCCAAACAATGCTTACAACTTGCAGAACTGGAGGGGGCGAGGGGGCTGTCAGTCTGGCGGTTCCGTGCTCGCCGTCGCCGCCCCGTCGCCGCCTCGTCGCCGCCGCCGCCTGGGGTGGGTTGTGGGTCTGGCCCTTCCGTGCTGGCCGCCGCCGCCCCGTCGTCGCCTCGCATAGAGTGCACCGCATAGATTGCATCGACCAGATTGCACCATCTAGCTTGCACGACATAGATTACATCGAATATATATATATATATATATATATATATATATTGCACCACGTGGGTTGCACCACGTAGATTGCATAAAATGGGTCGCACCGCACAAATTGCACCACATAGACTGCACCATGCAGGCTGCACCAACTGCCGATGGCAGCACCCGGTTTGCGCACCACATCCGCCGCCGTGCCTCAAAGCACGGCGTGGCCGTGTCCTCCGGTCCTCTCGCTCCCCCACTGAGCCTCAGCCCACGCTCCTGAAGAGTCTTCGAGGGGTTCGGAGCCCTTCGGCCCAAATCCCCGGGGGCGTGGCGCGGCTCCCCTGGGCTCCAGCGCGGCCTGTCGCGTGACCCCTTGAGGCCCAAGAGAGCCCCCAGACGGGCCAACGGGGCTCAGAGCTCGAAGAGGGCCCCAAGGCGGTCCCCAGAGGGTTCCGACTGGCTGAAATATCACTGAAGGCACCCAAGATGGGCCCAAGACGGCCCAAGAATGTCCTCAAGACGCCCCAAGAAGCCTCCGAGAGGCGTCCGAGGAGGGAACCGAGGGGCAAAATTCTGGCTTTTGAAGGTTGTCGGCCTTCTGGTCGTTTTGGCTTCCCGACGTTCTGACCGCCCCAAGACGGCCGAAGAGATCGCCAAAACGCCTCGAAGACGGGCCAAAAGGGCCCCAAGACGGCCTCCAAAACGGCCCCAGAGAGCCCCAAGACGGTCCCAAGAGGGATCCCACAGGGGGGCCACGAACCCGAAATTCTAGCCTTCCGCCCTACTAGGGCCCCAGGAGGCCCCCAGAGGCCCCAAGAGGTCCCCAAAAGGCTCCCGAGCCACAAAACGGCCCAAGAGGGGAGTCAGTGCCTGCACGTTTTGAAAGGGGACGGGCCGATCTGCCATCACTCTCGTCAGAATGCAGCACACTGAGGGTCCCCTGCCTAGCGGTTGCTCACATCGAGACAGCGTAAACAACCCGAAAGTGCGCAACCCCCACATCGTATTTTCTCACGCCCTCCATTCCCGTCCAGACCGCTTGCAGAGAAGATTCGGCGATCCTCCGCCTCCCCAAGCTTGCCGTCCGAAGACGTCGTCTTGATCCTGCCGGACGAAGTAACACTACGCCCCGATGCAACCATGAACACACCGTCATGCCACGGGTCATCGATACTAGACCTTCTCACCCGGCGCATGCCTGGACCATTG